GTTTTTTTTTTTTTTTTTTTTTTTTTGTTTCTGGGGTTTTTTTTTTTTACTCTAATATTTTTTTTGGGGGGGGTTTGTTTTTTTTTTTTTTTTTTTTCTTTCTGGTGTTCTTTGTTTTTCTTTTTCTTCTGTTTTTTTTTGTTTTGTTTGTTTTTTTTCTGGCGTTCTGTTTTTTTTTTTTTTTTGTGTTCTGGTTTTTTTTTTTCTTGGTTTTTTTTTTTTTTTTTTTTTTAAAAGCTTTTGCATCCTTTTAACTAGTGAGGGAGAAATTTGACCATGAAATACGCAGCTCAGTGTGTGTGTGAGAATGTTCCTGAATCTCTGTGCCGATCTCCCTCCCTCCTCAGGGCGCTCTTCGATTACGATCGTTCCCCCGGGACAGCTGCCTCCCGAGTCAAGGACTGAGCTTCTTCTACGGGGACATCCTGCATGTGATCAACGCCTCCGACGACGAATGGTGGCAGGCCAGGCTGGTGACTCCCCACGGGGAGAGCGAGCAGATCGGCGTCATCCCCAGTAAAAAGAGGTAAAGGGTTTCATCACAACCAAAGTCATGTGTGCCGGTTCAGTGAGGCCCAGAATTTACCCCCCCCCATAGGTAGGAAAACCGCTTCATGTTCCCGCTCTACAAATCCAACATCTTACAGGGAAAAAAATGAAAAAAGTGAGTGGTGTGCGGAGGAGGGGTGGATGGAGGCAACTTACACTACAGAGGGGGAACCACTTTTAGGTTCCATTCACACTGAGCCTAACAACATGTTTTTGTTTTTTCCTCCAGTGTCTGTTTTTGTTTTTTTTTTTGTTTGCTTGATTTTTTTCCCAAGCAATTTTTTATTTTTTATTTTTGTTTCTTCTTTCCAAGTGTCTTTGTTTCTTTTTTTTTTTTGTTTTTTCGTTTTTTGGTTTTTTTTTTTCCACAAGCAGCTTATTTCGTGCATTTTTTTTTTCCAAGCTTTTTGTTTTTGTTTTTTTTTCCCCCTCAAGCAGATTTTTATCACATTTTTCTTTTTTTTTTTTTTTTTTTATTCCAAGCTTTTTTTTTTTTTTTTTTTTTTTTTATTTCCCATGCTCTTCTTTTTTTTTTTCTTTTTTTTTTTTCCTCCCCAAAGCAGCTTTTTTAATACACAAAAACAGGGGAAAAAAGGGCTTGGGGAAAAAAAAGAAAATGTGATAAAAAATCTGCTTGGGAAAAAAAAAAAAAAAAAAATACACAAAAAACAGGGAAAAAAAAAAAAGCCTGGAAAAAAATATATATTTTTATTTTCCCAAGCAGGTTTTTGGGTTATCCCTTTTTTTTTTTTTTTTTTTTTTTTTTTTGTCTCACCAGGCATCTTTGGTGTGGTTTTTTTTTTTTTTTTTTTTTTTCCCCAAGCAGCTTTTTTTCATTTTTTTTTTTTTCTCCAAGTGTTTTTGCGTTTTGTGTCTTTCGTGTGTTTTTTTTGTTTTTTGTTTTTTTGTTTTGTTTTTTGTTTCTTCCTAAGCAGATTTTTATCGCATTTTTTTTTTTTTTTTTTTTTTTTTTTTTTTCTCCCAAAGCATCTTTTTTTAATACACAAAAACAGGGAAAAAAGGGCTTGGGGGAAAAAAAAAGAAAATGTGATAAAAATCTGCTTGGGAAAAAAAAACAAACAAAATACACAAAAACAGGGAAAAAAAGGACTGGAAAAAAATATATATATTTTATTTTTTTTTCCCCAAGCAGGTTTTTTATTCCTTCTTTTTTTTTTCTCCATGCATCTTTGTGTTTTTTTTTTTTTTTTTTATTTTATTTTCTCTCCCAAGCAGCTTTTTTTTCCATTTTTTTTTTTTCTTTTTTTTCAATCCTTTTTTTTTCTCTCAAAGTGTTTTTGTGTATTTTTTTTCATTTGTTTTCCCAAGCAGATTTTTTTATCACATTTTCTTTTTTTTTTTTTTGTTTGTTTTGTTTTTTTGGTTTGTCCCAAGCCGCTTTTTATTACATTCGCGCCCCCCCCCAAGCCTTTTTTTTCTCTCCAAGTGTCAAGTGTTTTTTCTGTGTGTTTTTTTTTTTTTTTTTTTTTTTTCCCAAGCGTCCTTTTTGTGTTGTTTTGTTTTTTTGAGCAAATATAGGCATTTTTTCAGACAGGTGTTTTTTTTTTTTGTTTTTTTTTATTTTCTGTGGCCAATAGCTGCTGTTCTGAGCTGAAAACGCCTAAAAAAAAAAAAAATGCTTTAACACAAAACGCTCGTTCCTGCAGGTCAGGCAGTGAAGTCAGATGTCCGTCCTTCCTGGGGGGGGGGAGTCTTTCGGGGAACCCCGAGCATGCGGTGTCAGATGTCCGTCCTTCCTGGGGGGGGGGGGGGGGTTTTCGGGGAACCCCGAGCAGTGAAGTCAGACGTCCGTCCTTCCTGGGGGGGGGGGGGGGGGGGGGGGGTGTCTTCGGGGAATCGGGGACCCCGAGCACGTGAAGTCAGGTTGGGTACGTCCGTCCTCCGGAGATTCGGGACTGCTCGGTGTTCCTGTGATATTTAAATCGTGCACCTCATGGGAGGAGGGGTCGGAAGGTGAGGGAAGTATATTCCCTCACCTTCCACCCTTGAGGACAGGTGTGCTGGTCCTCTTCATAGCCCATGAAGCCCCTCCCCTTCTCCTCTGTAGAACGATCTGATTTGTCTTTCAGGGTGGAGAAGAAGGAGGAGCTTTGTAGCGCGGCTGAAAACCGTCAAATTCCACGACGGTACCGGCATGGGTCCAACAGAGTGAGTACGGGGGATGGGATGGTTCAGGAAGATGGGGGGCGGGTGATGGGGGAGGGACAGAAAATGTCCTGTTGTAGTCACATGACTGGACTACTTACCTGTTGTGGTCACACCTCGCCCCCGGGATACTCCACTCCTTCACCTTCCGGTAGGCGGAGGGCGGTTTGGACCCTCCTGTAGTAGATGGGCGCCATACACAGTGGGAGGATGAGAAGTCGCCGACACCCCAGAGACGATTGATTGGTGGATGGAGCCGGGCTGGGGTCCTTTCTGTACACCCATTCAGCCATAACAATATGACCACCCACCTAATACTGAGGTAGGCCCCCCCCCCCCCTCTTTTTCTCACCATGGTCCCCACTACACCTTTTTTTGAAGGTGTACGCTGTGCTATCGCATTCAAGCTGTTGGGAGGCGGGGCCTCCGTGGATCAGATCTCAGTTTTTCTAGCACATCCCCACAGATGAGCGATTTGGATTGAGATCTGGAGGATGCTTAAAGTTGGAGGCCAAGTCAACACCTCAAACTCTTTGTGTTCCTTAGTAAAATACTTTTGTTGCTTTGTTACCAAAGAAAAGATCGGGATTTTATCGGCACAACATGAGGCAACGTAGCACATTGTAACACCAACTCCATACACTTCTAGGATGGGCCGGGGCCCAACCCTCGAGACGGCCCCGTGGCCCAAAAAACCTCGGGACGGCCCCGTGGTGCCCAACCCTCGACTCGGGACGGGGGCCCCCGTGGCCCAACCCTCGGGACGGCCCCGTGGCCCAACCCTCGGGACGGCCCCCTCGGGGCCCAACCCTCGGGACGGCCCCGTGGCCCAACCCTCGGGACGGCCCGTGGCCCAACCCTCGGGACGGCCCCGTGGCCCAACCCTCGGGACGGCCCAACCCTCGGGACGGCCCCGTGGCCCAACCCTCGGGACGGCCCCGTGGCCCAACCCTCGGGACGGCCATCGCCCATATATATTATATATACATACACATGTATTGTGTGTATGGATCTACCATGTTTGCAGTATGGCGGGACACATTCTCCTGCTGACAGGCCTCTACCTACCATCAGGGGACACGGTTTCCATGAAGGGGTGGGCTTGGTCACCCACAATAGTCAGGTAGGTGGTACGTGTTGGGTGACCTCCACTTGCCCTCCGCCGGCTTGTCCCCTCCCCATCCTGGTACCACCTCTTCCCCAGGTAAGTGATGCTCACCTACCCCGCCATCCACGTGATGGGAAACGCCATTCCCCAGACCAGACCACCTCCCGTTGCCCATTGTAGGTGGTTCTGGATGTGGAGACGGGTCGGCATGCGCTGCGACTACACACAGCCCCACACGCCACAAACTGCCATGGCATCCACTTCAGGGACAACATGTTTTTTCCCACGCACTTTGTAAGGAGATAAATCCGTGATATTCACTTTACCTGTCAGTGGTCATAATGTTATGGCGGATCGTTGTATATATACACCATACAGTTACCCATAGCAACCTGCAGTATACAGCCCCCGATGACGTCGGCATTCCACCACGAACACTAAATGCGTGTCGTGCCGTAGAGACGTCATTGGGCCCCGGCGTGCCTGCGGTTTCAATCCTTCCGCTGTACAGGAGGAGGGGAACAGTCAGACCCTTGTGGGAGCACCTGAGGAATGTTCCTTTAAGAATGTGTTCCCTCCGGTGGGCGGGGTCAGATCTCAGCCAACTGTCACTTGTCACAGCAGGTCCCACATCTCATGCTCCCCCTTCGCCCTCTCAGTTCATCACGCTCTCCCATTTTTATGAATTTTTTTTTTTTGCATGCCTTGTAAACCCATGTTGTTGTTTTGTTTTTTTTTGGTTTGTTCCCTTTCCCCCCCCCACATCCATCACCTTCATTTCTACATCTGTGGCTTCGTGTCCTCCGTTGGCCATTTCTCTGTTCCGTCCGCCGCAGTCCATCAAATCCAAGCGTAAAAAGAGTTTCCGGCTGTCCCGCAAGTTTCCGTTTTACAAGAGCCTTGTTCAGGAGAACAACAACGCACGTAAGTAGGAGGCGGGGCCGGAGGATCCTCACACGTGGTACTAGACTAGTGACCTGAGAGAGGAGTGAGTGACACGCATGTGGAGCAACCGGGGTGGCTGGGCGGTGAGGTGTACATACGTGACATCTACAACTGACAACGTCGAATGTTTGAGGTCCGTGCAGATCGGACAAGTCGTGGTGTTCCGGTACTCTGCGGGGGGGGGGGGCGGCCATTCCCTTCCAGGGTTCCTGCAGAGCTTGCTGAGGGTTCTGACCACGAGAGGTTCATTTCTCCCCACTGACCCCAATGTAAGGGACATTCCTCCCACTGACCCCCAATGTGAGGGACATTCTTCCCACTGACCCCCCAATGTAAGGGACATTCTTCCCACTGACCCCCAATGTAAGGGACATTCTTCCCACTGACCCCCAATGTAAGGGACATTCTTCCCACTGACCCCCAATGTAAGGTTCATTCTCCCCACTGACCCCCAATGTAAGGGGACATTCTTCCCACTGACCCCCCAATGTAAGGGACATTCTTCCCACTGACCCCCAATGTAAGGGACATTCCTCCCACTGACCCCCAATGTAAGGGACATTCTTCTCACTGACCCCCAATGTAAGGGGCATTCTTCCCACTGACCCCCAATGTAAGGGACATTCTTCCCACTGACCCCCCAATGTAAGGGTACATTCCTCCCACTGACCCCCAATGTAAGGGACATTCTTCCCACTGACCCCCAATGTAAGGGACATTCCTCCCACTGATCCCCAATGTAAGGGACATTTCCTCCCACTGACCCCAATGTAAGGGACATTCTTCTCACTGACCCCAATGTAAGGGGCATTCTTCCACCACTGACCACCAATGTAAGGGACATTCTTCCCACTGACCCCCCAATGTAAGGGACATTCTTCCCACTGACCCCCAATGTAAGGGACATTCTTCCCACTGACCCCAATGTAAGGGACATTCTTCCCACTGACCACCAATGTAAGGGACATTCTTCCCACTGACCCCCAATGTAAGGGACATTCTTCCCACTGACCACCAATGTAAGGGACATTCTTCCCACTGACCACCCAATGTAAGAAACATTCTTCCCACTGACCCCCAATGTAAGGGACATTCTTCCCACTGACCACCAATGTAAGGGGCATTCTTCCCACTGACCCCCAATGTAAGGGACATTATTCCCCACTAATCACCAATGTAAGGGACATTCTTTCCACTGACCACCAATGTAAGGGACATTCTTCCCACTGACCCCCAATGTAAGGGACATTCTTCCCACTGACCACCAATGTAAGGGACATTCTTCCCACTGACCACCAATGTAAGGGACATTCTTTCCCACTGACCACCAATGTAAGGGACATTCTTCCCACTGACCACCAATGTAAGGGACATTCTTCCCACTGATCACCAATGTAAGGGACATTCTTCCCACTGACCTCCAATGTAAGGGACATTCTTCCCACTGACCCCCAATGTAAGGGACATTCTTCCCACTGACCCCCCAATGTGTAACGGGACATTCTTCCACTGACCACCAATGTAAGGGACATTCTTCCTGTGACCACCAATGTAAGGGACATTCTTCCCACTGACCACCAATGTAAGGGACATTCTTCCCACTGACCCCCCAATGTAAGGGACATTCTTCCCACTGACCCCCAATGTAAGGGACATTCTTCCACTGACCCCAATGTAATGTAAGGGACATTCTTCCCACTGACCACCAATGTAAGGGACATTCTTCCCACTGACCCCCAATGTAAGGGACATTCTTCCCACTATATTGGGTTCCGGCAATTTTTTTTTTTTTTTTTTTTTTTTTTATGCTTTTTGCCGTGTTTTCTCGTGTTACACAGAGATGACACAAATCCTACATGAGTTGTATCTGTTTATCTGTATCCTACTCTTCTCTACTGTCCTATACCAGACATCTCCAAACTGTGGCATGGAGGCCGGATGCGGCCCTTTTCTTGCTTTTATCTGGCCCTTGGAGCACTACTCCATTAACTGACAGCACCGATTGGACTGGTGGCCTCCCATTGACGCCACCCGATTGGACTGGTGGCCTCCCATTGACACCACCGATTGGACCCTCCCCCATTGACACCACCGATTGGACTGGTGGCCTCCCATTGACGCCACCGATTGGACTGGTGGCCTCCCATTGACCACCGATTGAACTGGTGGCCTCCCATTGACGCCACCGATTGGACTGGTGGCCTCCCATTGACGCCACCGATTGAACTGGTGGCCTCCCATTGACGCCACCGATTGAACTGGTGGCCTCCCATTGACGCCACCGATTGGAACTGGTGGCCTCCCATTGACGCCACCGATTGAACTTGGTGGTGGCCTCCCATTGACGCCACCGATTGGACTGGTGGCCTCCCATTGACGCCACCCGATTGGACTGGTGGCCTCCCATTGACGCCACCGATTGGACTGGTGGCCTCCCATTGACGCCACCGATTGGACTGGTGGCCTCCCATTGACGCCACCGATTGGACTGGTGGCCTCCCATTGACGCCACCGATTGGACTGGTGGCCTCCCATTGACGCCACCGATTGGACTGGTGGCCTCCCATTGACGCCACCGATTGGACTGGTGGCCTCCCATTGACGCCACCGATTGGACTGGTGGCCTCCCATTGACGCCACCGATTGGACTGGTGGCCTCCCATTGACGCCACCGATTGGACTGGTGGCCTCCCATTGACGCCACCGATTGGACTGGTGGCCTCCCATTGACACGCCACCGATTGGACTGGTGGCCTCCCATTGACATGACCGATTGGACTGGTGGCCTCCCATTGACGCGACCGATTGGACTGGTGGCCTCCCATTGACGCGGCCGATTGGACTGGGTCCTCCCATTGACGCGGTTGGGGACCGATTGGACTGGTGGCCTCCCATTGACGCGGCCGATTGGACTGGTGCCTCCCATTGACGCGGCCGATTGGACTGGTGGCCTCCCATTGACGCGGGCCGATTGGACTGGTGGCACCGATTGGGCACAATTCCACCCAATGACACCAGCTACGGGGCATTGTTTAGTCTGACACCAGGACAATTTCTACTCCCAATGGCCTCAGTCCAGCCCCCCCTGCAGTCTGAAGGGCAGTATACTGGCCCCTTGTTTAGAAAGTTTGGAGACCCCTGGTCTATACTATTCTCTCTTTTCAAAGTGCAGAATTTATACAGCTCTTCTCAGCTGTCAGAAAACAGGGTGGGGAGCTGAAGTTAGTCTGCAGAGCTTTGACAGCTGATTGGAGGGAAGGAGCACCCCCCCCCCCCCCTTCTTCACACAAGAGCAGAGCTGAGGCTGTCAGTCACAGGCTGTGTGCTGGAGCTCTCCTCGCCCTGTCACCATTTATCTCTTGGTGTCAGGAAAACCTGTCAGATGTGACTCATGCAGAGGAAGGAGGCAGCAGACACAGAAATGACCCTCAGTGCTCTGGACTGAGACCAGGACCCACTGTAGAGGGATGTGCTTTGTTCATATTTCCCGTCTGAGGGTTGCACCCATTGAAGATGGCGCAGTGAGCGAGCGCCGAGTTCCCGGGGCCCCCCCGCTGTCTTCAGCTCTCTAATGTTCGTCCTAAATCGGGCAAACGACCTGAAGAACAGAAGTTGTCAGACAGACCCGACAACCTCGGTTCTCCGAGCCTTGACCTCCACATTGCGGTCCCAGGGAGTCTGAACGGCTGCATATGACCCAGTGCACTCAGTAATCAGCACTCAGTAACAGACCTGGTTAGACCACGCCCCCTCTAGACATGCTCCGTCTCTTCCTCCTGGAATAGAGGGCGGTGTCATGCTGAGGGGTGTCGCTGTTACTCAGCTCTGCCAGTACAGGGCTCTGCAGTATGAGGGCCGACAGCGGCAGCTCGGGGCCACCTAACCAATGACCTGCCTGACGTCTCTCCAGCGGTAGGGTGGTTCTAGGATCTGTTCCTGCACCTAGTAGTCGGCTGTTTTTTTTCCATGGACTCTAGAAGGGTGACAACGCTGTTGGTTCTGCAGTGAAATCGCACAGCGGTGTTGTCACCTGTTGTAGTTTTAAATGGTCTTTAAGTGACGGGAAAGCTGAACTCCAGCCAATGAGTTTGTTTAGGAAGTTCAATGTTTAGAAAACTACAGGCTTGACGCAGCAGGCGGGGGAGAGTGCTGGCGGGTCGCAGCAGGCGGGCGGAGAGAGCTGGCGGGTCGCAGCAGGCGGGCGGAGAGAGCTGGCGGGTCGCAGCAGGCGGGCGGAGAGAGCTGGCGGGACGGCCAGAGAAAGCAGTTAAGCCACAGCAGGCGGGGGAGGAGAGAGCTGGCGGGTCATAGCAGGCGGGCGGAGAGAGCTGGTTGGCAGGTCGCAGCAGGGGGGCGGAGAGAGCTGGCGGGTCATAGCAGGCGGGCGGAGAGAGCTGGTTGGCAGGCAGGCCGTAGCAGGGGGGCGGAGAGAGCTGACAGGCAGGCCGCAGCAGGGGGGGGGGGGCGAGAGCTGGCAGGTTCCAGCAGGTGGGCAGAGCGGGCAGGCAGGTTGCAGGAGAGGGGCGGAGAGAGCTGGCGGGTCATAGCAGGGGGGCGGAGAGAGCTGGTTGGCAGGTTGCAGCAGGGGGCGGAGAGAGCTGGTTGGCAGGTTGCAGCAGGGGGGCGGAGAGAGCTGGTTGGCAGGTTGCAGCAGGGGGGGCGGAGAGAGCTGGCACGCAGGCCGCAGCAGGGGGCGGAGAGAGCTGGCACGCAGGCCGCAGCAGGGGGCGGAGAGAGCTGACAGGCAGGCCGCAGCAGGGGGGCGGAGAGAGCTGACAGGCAGGCCGCAGCAGGGGGGCGGGAGAGAGCTGACAGGCAGGGCCGCAGCAGGGGGGCGGAGAGAGCTGACAGGCAGGCCGCAGCAGGGGGGCGGAGAGAGCTGACAGGCAGGCCGCAGCAGGGGGGCGGAGAGAGCTGACAGGGAGGCCGCAGCAGGGGGGGCGGGAGAGAGCTGACAGGGAGGCCGCAGCAGGGGGGCGGAGAGAGCTGGCAGGCAGGTCGCAGCAGGGGGCGGAGAGAGCTGGCAGGCAGGCCGCAGCAGGGGGGCGGAGAGAGCTGGCAGGCAGGCCGCAGCAGGGGGGCGGAGAGAGCAGCAGGCAGTCAGGTGGGCGGAGACCAATGCTGTCATAGCTTCCCTTACAAATCAATGCTTCCCTCAGTGTACTGTGTACAGGGGCCCCAAGGGGTGACAAAGGGCCAATCTGGGGGCGGTGTGAAGAGGCGGATCTCTGCAGAGGTATCCCAGTAATGAATTAGAGGTGGTAGGAGTTGAGCTGAGCGATTCTGGGGGGGTCCATTCATCTCCCTCAGGTGGGGGGGCTGCTCTGTGTTCCTTCATTCCATGGTGTATACATTTGTCAGAATCCTACATTCCCCCCCCCCCCCCCCCATATTATTTGTGGGTGTGTGATGAGGGGGGCGGGGCGTGGTGACATTTCTGCTCCTCCTCCTGCTCTCTGTCTCTCACTGTCCTCTCTCTCCTCTCTGTGATCTCAGGACTTCCCCGGCTTAAGTGACGATTATTATGGATCAAAGAGTCTGAGTAAGTCCCTCAGTGTGCGGGGGATGGGGGGGGGGGCGGGGGGGATGGGGCACTGACCGCACACCATGGTTGCCTGCTTGACCCTCATCCTATCCTCTCTGGGTTGGGGCAGGAAAGTCCCCGCCCCGTGGCATGTTCCCCCCCCCCCCCCCCCCCCCCCCTTTCGGAAGTCCCGTGACATTCGGGTCGGTGGAATCGGATCGGCTAAATCTGGTCCCTCATTGGTGCCGTCTGTGACGTGTCACGGCTGTGCAGAGAAGCCCCGCCCCCGGCCAGTGTGGTGCGGAGAAGGACCCTCCCTCTATGTGGAAGCCGTGGTCTCTCTGCAGAGGTCTGAAATGCCAGAGCTGTCCAATCAGAAGGCGGAATGAGCTTTCCCGATTTCACAGCTGTAGGTGTGTCCTGGCAGAGGGTGGGTTGGACCTCCGCAGGGAGGCCACGCCTTCCACGCCCGAGTCACACCCGCAGCTCTGGAGTCTGTAAAGCTCGTTCTGTCTTCTGATTGGAGAGCTACAGCTGTGACTCAGCAGAGGGGCGGGTCAGACCTCGGCAGAGAGACCACGGCTTCCTCTGCAGCATGCTGGTCGGGGGCGGGCTAAAGAAACCAACTGCCATTTCTGCACCTTCTGGTCTCGATGCATCCGGGACGGATTTAGCCGATTTATTCTCAGATTGTGACATTTGTTTATCTTTTCCTTTTGATTTTATTCTTGTCGGCCATTTCTGTAAGCGGGATGACGTGCGGCCGGGGGGGGGGGGGGGGGGCAGG